AGCTTGCATCCTGCAGGCACAGCCGTTTGTCAGAACCATTTCAATACACTGTTTACACATTATTATTCTGTTTGCATCGGAGCGTGTTTGTTATTTGAAGATGAAATATCTATAATACAATACACAGGAGAAATAATGCCGTAGTGGTATGCTGATTAATGATGTAGTTGTAATTGTTTATTTTAAATTCCTTAATATTAACTGTTGTCTTGTCCATAAAACAAATGATTATCTTTTGTCATGTTGTCAGGACATCATCCAGTTGTTAGATTTCTTTGCACGGACAAATTCATGTAAACCTCACAATCATCTTGTATCAAAGGGCATCAATTGTATATGAAAAACATGCTTCTAACTGCAGTAATAAAGCAATTGTTAAATTATACAAGTGTATGACAGCAGATAGGATGTTGAACTAGAGTTTTCAGAAACATTCACAACATTTTTTACTTAAGTTTTCTAACAGTGCAAGGTATTATTTATTTTGGTAACAATAAGCCAATGGAAGATTTTCTTTCCCAAATATGCACCTTCCTTTATTCACTGGCTAATTAACAATTTAGCCAAAAGCACTTATTTTTCGACATCCAACATCTTTTATTGTTCTTCCATTTGATGTGCGCAGTTGGAAATGGCAAACCATGCTAGCATAAATGGAATCCAGGATTAAAAAAAATAAATGCAGAACTTTAACAGATTGAACGGCTACAAAGACACCACTGGTAAAAAGCATGGACACCATATCTTATGACGTTCTCTAAGGATAAGTGCAACACTATCTTTTCACTCTCAAAAGAAAAATCTCTGTTATCAAACTAATGCTACGATTTCTATAGCTGTCATTTCATTGGAGAAACATCAGTCTCCCACTCAGTAATATTCCAACTTTAATTAAGTCTCTGGTGAGTTCCTTGGAAGAATCTCAAGTGCTCAATCCAAACAGATGGCACTCTATTTATTGCACACCTTATGCCACAGGTACTACCTTTCCCCCTCCAAAGAAAAAAAGACTATCCAAGATAAGACTTGTCTTTATGTAATCTCCTGGGCCTGTAAGATTCAGAATTCCGCCAAACAATGCAGAAAAGTTTGTTTTTAATTAGATCTAAAAATACAATATAGAATAAATCAAATGGCAGACAGACAATCCCAGGGCAGGCTATTTAAAGATGCACCACAGAGAATGTGAGTCACTGTGGATGAATGAGTTTAAAATACAGTGGGTAGCCCTGTTTCAGTCATCAATCTGCGGGCCTGCATGTGGCCTGATTCAAACAGCGGAGCCTTCCAAAGTGGAAGCCCTCATGCAGCAAACAAGGGAATTGTATCTGACTGTACACATTCATCTAGACTAATGGCATGGTGATGCATCCAGGGGGATACACAAGCTCATGTTCTTTGTTCCAGATCATTTGACTCCTTCTCACTTGTACTCGGCCCTGTCACAAGTGGAAGTGTGAGTGATCTGTTTAATCTCATCAAATATGATTAGGCAAAACACATCTCAAGATAATATTTTACAGCCCTGTGATTCAGCATTAATACAGATGATGCGTAAATGTAGCTATGAGTCAATAGGGGCTACAGAAGGCTCAGCTGCGCTCCACCTTTATTAGCTTAACATGTAATGTGCTGTTTGAGCTTATATAAAAGTAAGACAACATTTAGCTAATATAGCTGTGACCATTTTTGAAATATTCTGGATCTTAAAGGTTGCAATGCTAGATGGCCTCAACGTGAGATTTATTCTGCAATGGCTCTTCTCAGAGGTAGCACAGGTCTGTGTTGCAAACACGCCATTATTATTCTCCCCAATTCTCCATTAGAATGAGCTGTCAATCGAAAACAAAACTATTTATACAAACAATGCAACCCTGGGCTTCTCTGGGCAACGATAACAGACTCCCAACACAAAGTTCTGAAATGAAAAGGAGGATATTGAAAAATTGTGAATTTCATCTTCCACTGACTGCTCTTTGCACCTCATCTTTTGGTGCACAGCAATGATTACAAGTAAACTCTCCCCAAATATTTGTTCTGCCTGGCAGGCAATATGAAAGATGACACAGTATTATAAAAGTAAAAGTACATAGTTGGAGGGATTTCTTCCATCTGGGAATCCAATGATTATTGTTATCAGTAAATACAGCACTGACTAAAGATTTGAGTTAATCATTGGGTAACTTCACAGTGTCCCTAATAACTATTAAATCAGGAATTAAAAACATGATCCAGAGAACAAACATTTATTCATCACTTTTTTGCATTGCCTTGCAATCCTACCACATCTTTGAAATCCTTTTATCCTTTCACTTCCTAAGCAAACCGCCCAGTGATTTAAACAAGGCAATTGACATGCTTGGATAGTGAAAACAAGTGGACTTAATATTATTTCTGCATGAAATATTGTGTTGTTAATCCACAAGAAGGATCACTATTTGTGTCAGAGTTTGGGGGCTTTTCATGCAAAGTCCAGTTGTCACTAATCTACAAGTTAATATGAAATAGGAAACTAGAGCCTTGTTGTTTAGACTAGAAACAAATGAAAATGCTCATGGAGTACCACACCCAGACCTAATGTTCAATTGTGCAGGACTGACATTTGAAGTTGTGCTGAAGATCTGAGTTTATTAATGTTTTTTTTTTTATAGATATCAATTCAACCCTCAAGGATTTTGTCAGAGACTTCTGTTGTGCTATGATAAGAGCTTATTGTGAGCTGGAGGACTGATATGGACCCTGCCTACAGGGTACAGTGGGGATCTGTTTCTTCACTTAAGTAAGACTTACAAGGCCTCCTCAGAGGTCATGCTGAGTTTGTAACATTGCCCAGGGTTTGGTTCTCACATTTCAAGGGTAAAGACAAAATCCATTTTCCTACTCACTATTTACGATTGCAGATGCCATGTTTTCCCCACTCCATATCCAATTACTATATTATGATGGATTCCAAGCAATATTTCCTGCCAGCCATTATTCAAGACAGTCTATCTCAATTTACATAGCTTAACAAAGCACTGAGCTTTTAATAACGCGGAGTGTGATAGTGGGGAGCTGATGTTTATTTGAACTGGCTGAGCTTTGGTGGTAATGATTATGAAGTGAGCTTTGGGAACTGTCTCTGTGAGAGGAAAGAGAGAGCGAAGCGTTGTGTGAAGCAGGCAGATGGTGGGCTGGACAGTGTGTTGATAATGGCAACATTAGTCTGGGAGGCAACATTATGCTCAAGGTCAATCGGAGCTGAAGAATGGAGGATCATAATGGCCATGGGCTGGAACGAGATCTCCCTTTAAGGATATCAAGATATTTAATATGAGCTCAGTAATCTGCACAAGGCTATCATACTCATCCTAAAACTTCAGGAAGTTCCTCAGTGCCACTGAAGCAGTGATAATGGATCATAAAAGGAGCTTTCTTGCTAGGGTTTACTGTATGTGTGCGGATAACTATTTAATGTAAGATATAATCAACATTCGTTTTCGTCAAATGTGTAGTTTTTGAAAAGGCTCGTCCCCAGACCATTACACTTCATGCCCATACATTTAGCCCTGTGCATGTAAAATGCATTTGCACACCATGTTCATGGAAAACATGCATTTCAAATCTTCCCACAGGCACATGAAATATTCATGGTAGTTTTATGAGCACATTTCTTAGCACATATACATCATGCATTTATACTTATGTCATGTAAATAAGGAAACATGCATTCTAGTATTACCTACCTATCTCTCAGTGATCCATGCTCTCCTTCCATATTTGGCACAATTCGCTTAACTTATATCCCATTCATTTTAATGCTCCGGTCTTCTTACCGGATATTTTCTTCTTATTTTGTTAGTACATTTATTCCATTCGTGTTTCCTGCTTTTACTGTTTGTTTTGTCAATGTTCCAATTTAAAATATCCCCACAGGGATCAATAACATTTATGTTAAGTGTTATCATTTCACTTTCAGCAGAAGCCAACAGCTACATCCCTGACCGTAATGTCAAATCACAAAGTGGTTTGCCTCCAGTTTTCCACTCCCCGCCCACTTCCTGTTGCCTTTGTTTTAACAAAGGCAACAGCAGCCTTGCTGCATTGACATCTACGGAAACTAATGAAGCCCCTTCAAGCATATCGAACTCGTCTCCAGTGAGACAGGGAGGGACTCGGGGAGACTCAAGACTTCCTTTTGTCGCCCTGTATTAATGCACAAATCATGAGCCGAGCTGAGAGCCTCGGGCAATCTTCCGGAGGAGCATCATGGTTTTTTAATCCTTCAACACTTTGCATATATTATTAATTCTAAAGGCTGTGTAATACTCAACAGTTGCATGGAATAACAATTACATTGCAGCTTTTGGCCATAGTGCTGTCCATCAACATATGCTTCCTGTTTTATAACTGTAGAGATGCAGACTCATATTTTGACTGTTGTTAATAGCGCTGTAATTCTCAGGCAAAACGCATTAGTCTTGAGTGCATTTCAAAGTACAAACCTAGTCACAACAAAAGGGCAATTTTGAAGTTGTTCATATTTTAATCCGCACTTTGTCTCTCTTTCTTTTACAGTGGCATAATTGAAAAATGAATATTCAATACTGAGAAAAAAAGCAAACCTCACACATCCCCCATAAAAAGCAAATTAATTACAGTGATTAAAACTTTTTACAAAATGAGTTATTTATAGCATTATACTGAACTAACAAAATAACATGTATGAGCATTGGCAATGTGGTTCAATGTCTTTGATACAGTGACTATATACAGTACAGTGAGGGCATGTCTGATTCACCAATGCCTCATCATGTCATTAGTACTGTTTGCAGCAAACTCAAAGGCCATAACGGTGATCCTTATATTGTTTTTTTATGATACGTTACAGAATTAAAAAATGGAAAAGTTAATGTCAGACAACTACTTTAGTAATAACAGCAATAATATCAATCAATATAGTATAATAAATGTCAATCAATCATAATAATAAATACATATACAGTATTAGACCAGAATTCCTTTTTTTTCTTTCTTGTTTTACATTTTAAGCAATTTATTAGAATCCCTGTTTGAAAAAACCTTGAAAAATATGAAAAGAATCTCATCAAAGTGATGGGGACTGAACAGACCTGAAATTAAAAGCTATAACCAGTGTTTTATCTTTTACTAAATTTAAATACTTACACATTATTTACATGCCGCCTGGCAAAACAACCTCTTGTTAGATAAATGGGAGAAAGAAAAAGAAGACATGTGGAATATTTTAAGTACTGTATATGCTAATATACAAATTGTAATGTCAGGGATCCAAAGTTTCAACAATATTGGTCACCAAAATTCACGTTAGCAAAGTATTTTACAGCAATATCCACACATTGAGCATAGTTGTTCAATAAAAGTCAACATAAATAATGAACCCCCACAAGGTTCCACTCATTCAGTTTGGATCTTACATCAATTGGGCAACACAAATGAAAGTTAACCATCCATGACCATAACTGAAGTCTTCTCCTGTCTGACACCATCTCTCCAACTAGACTCATATTGAATCCCGAGACAAGTGTTATCCCTCCGTGTTAGTCCTCAGACTTTGTGCTTTAATTTTCTAACTTGTTCTCCGTTGGTACAAATCAACAGCATCAGCGATAACTGAAAGTAACTCAATGCAGAAATATACAGACAGAGCTAAGAGGGATCTGATTTTATCTAGAGACAATCACATAGATTGTGCTTCTATGTTTTGTAAAAGTATTTTGTCAGTTTTATGTGTTTTCATGTATGCAGTATGGCTGTTATGGATTCAGCTTCAGGCAACATCCAAAACCAAATGTTAACCTGTTTAGAGTTAGATAAATGGATACCTATACTGTTCTTAAACCAAAACATTTAACTTGAACTTGATTTGAAACGTAACTCTTTGTGTTTCAACATTTCAAAAGATCTGCAGAAGTACTCAACAGGTAAATTAAGTGGAAAAAATGACTAAATTAAAAAACATAATGCGAGCGTTGATAGAAATGCAGAGAAGTATACAGCATTTAGGCACCGTAAAACTAAAATGGAAAATGGTCCTGTTGTATGGTTTACATTGTTGAATAGGGAAAGCTATATTGTCAGCCAATGCTTTGAATACAAGCATAATCCAAACATGAGCTTTCTGAAGTAGACATAATAATAAATAAACTAAAACAGATCATGTAATGACGCTGAGGCAGCATACAATTGCATGTCTGCTGTCAAGAGTTGTCATGAAATAAAGAAAAAGAGGTCTAAATGAAGTACTCTTTCTTTTCCTCTGCATGCACGTGGTTTCCCTCAGCATTGATGATGGCTGTGTCAGCGTCGGGGGCATCTTCTGCTCCTTTGGCCTCGTGTGTTAGATACGTCCCTGTAGACACACAGAGCGATACAGCAAGTTATCTACATGCCATATAGGTTTACAATTGCTTCAAGCTAGAAAATTGTTATTCATGGTAGCTCAAGTGACCTCTTTTACCTTTATGTCTAGCCAGATATCGTCCAAGAACTATTATCAGACACAAGGTGATGAAGACCACGACTGCAACAACTCCGCCAATTAAAGCGTGGTCAGGTCCATGTTGTCCTAAAGCATTAGGATCTGAAACAAGACAGAGAGAAATGGAGGAAAAAGTAAAGAGACAAAAAGTTCTGCAAGATGTTTCGCTTCTGTCTAGTGCATGTGTAGACATTTAATGAAAAGCTATTTAAATATTTTATTCCTGCAATCGTCATGAGACATTTCTCTACATGTTGCTATAAGATTAAAACACAAGAACAAAGCAGAACGGTCTCAAAAAAGCTTCTGTCAAATTTAGACCAACCTCCTTGATATCACTGCTCTGAAGTGCATCGATGTAGGTTTAAAAGATGTAATGTAGTAATTCCAATTTAAAATGTGGCATTGGTAACAGTGACAAGATGTAAGACAACTGACATTTTTTATTATTTCACCAAAGTCTTAACACATGCTATCTTTTGTTTCCCCCTAATCCACTGCAACATTCTGCTGCTGAGGATCAGGTTTTTTATAAATAAGTGTTATTTAACACAAGCAAGGCGTCCTCCGGGCAGTGAGCTGAAGGTCTCCCAGGTAAGAGCATGTTTTTGTGTCATCCTGTAATAACCTGTAAGTGGCTGTGTCTCTACTGTGCACCTCGTGTGCTCTCATTATCTCAAGCTGATGAATGACCATGGCTTGTGCTCAGTTTTGCAAAGTGACCCTGGAAAATGACGGCGACAATGTTCCCTACATACCTTGTTATATTCCTCTCTTAACAGAATGCAACCCTCATGTTCAGCAACCCCGTGTGGGATGTTCAAAATAAAAAGAGATGGGACTGTGAAACATGCAGTTGATTAAACTCCATGCAGAATAGAACCACAATGAATTTGTTTAGGGGGTCACAGGCAGGCACTTCAGAATTTGAAGTGATAACTGTTTTGGTACAACAGTTGAATTAATCAATTTTGGTTGCATGTTGATGGATATAATGATCTGTATGGGTGACTTCACTGTCAACAAGGAGCATAAGCAATTTTCATATCACACTCTGCTGGTGCATGCTGCACACAGGAAAGAGACAAGCTGAACGTATATTCATAAAAACACCTTACTACACATGTTTCCCCCTCTAAGTGTGACAAAATGAGTATTTATATAGATTTGTGAGCTTCAATTCCAATATAAATATATTGATAATTCCAAATCTGAAAAATTATGTTTTCAATTTTTTTAACAATTTTTTTTAAACATTAGGTTGCCACGTAAAAACTAGACACACTGTCAGGAACTAAAAATCACAAATATTTCAGCAGCACACAGAGGTATCAATGAGTCAATTCAAACCAAAGTTTGGTTACTTTACGACAACATGAAATGTGAATATTGTTTCCATCCTTTGTCCATCCTGTCTGCAAATATACAACTCCATGTTCTTTAGACCTTATGACTAACTCTATATATAGATATATATAATGTACACATCGCACATATATCTCAGAAATACCATATCTAACTAAACTGCAGCAAACACAAGCTATGAAAATAGAATAAATCATGAACATAACTGGAAAAATACGGTAAACAGAAACATTTTCATGTATTCAAAAGAGTGAAAGACCGCTCATAAAGAGTGTTTGCCTTCCCTTCCATTTCTACAGAATCACAAGATCTGAAATTAGATATTTACACACTGGCCTGAATACAATCTGCCGCCCAGCTCCACTCAGATAATTCTGTCTATTTCGTTGTGCAAAGACAAGGCAGACCAGAGACATATTTTGTGATAACTTATGCAGCCTGTGACATGGCTGGAGGGAGCAGCAGAGTGAGCATCCATGCAAGGTGATGGTTTGGCTCATGCTGTGTGGAGGCTGTGATGTGTCCTGACCCAGATCTTGCTCCAGCATCACACACTGTAAATCTGGCTTGCAATGATCGTCCAGTGGGATATTTACCTGTTGTAGGCCCTGGAAAGTCTTTGGCTGTTGCCATGGTTGCAGACATTGACAGCAGTAAGGGAAGACGAGGGGGACAACACCGTGATAAAAAACGTGACCACAAAGTTTGCAGGAAACATGAGAAATTAGCATGGTCTGTTTTTACTTTGACAGCGTGTTATCAACCTGCCTAACCGAAGTTACTGGAAATGGACCCGGGGGGGGGGGGGGGGGGGGGGGGGGGGGGGAGGACAATCGACAGGACAAGCTGAAGAACGGCTTTCAAAAAGATAATTATTAGTGTCTTAAATAGGCTATTTCAATCCTCAATGTGTCAGTTCACCAACAAATGAAACACATTTTGATTTAAAAAAAGAGTTACTTTCATTATGCTTTAATAATAGATGTGATGTTCTGGTCACCAACATTGGTCTATAGGTTGAAGCTTGAATCTCAGTGACAAATATTTAAAATATCTGGGCAAATTAAACCAGCACCAGAGTTCTTAACAACACATACTGGGCAGTCTACAATGAAGGCTAGGCAAATAGCAAAGGTGTTTGCAATATTGAGTCACAGCTTTTAAAATCAAGGTACTTACAATGGAAAAGTACCCTGAGTACGTTTTTTTGTTGTTATCACCAGTAATAATACAGAGCATTGTTTTTATGATAAGAATGTAAACAACACAACATTTAAAATATTAACACAAAAAGGGCTTTTCAAGTATTTGAAAGGAATACATTGCATATGTTTGCTTAAGCTCAAGGGTCCACATCATTTGTTTCTGTGAGAAAGACTAAATTACCATAAAAATGCCACGGGTCACCTTTAGATGTCATGTTGATTATCAAAATAAACCACAACCCAAATCTAAAGTAACATTTCTCTCTTCTCCATCACAACAAGAGTGCTGTTAGGACTGTTAAGGCAATTAGCATGTGTTACCTTCGGAGTGCTCTTAAGGCTCAGATACATGTCATACAAACACTACAACACGGTTTTCCATTAGGGGAGATGAACTCATGGAGTAAACACATGGAGTGTGCGATTTTGGTTAATGTTATTCAAAGGTAATTGCATGTTTCTTATTGTTTGGTTGTAATGGTAGAAATCGTTCAGCCTAAGAACAAAAGTATAAACACTAATGCTTTCTATTTTCTGCTTCTGCGAAGATGGTAATCTGTGCAGTGGTTTGCGAACAGTAACAACCTAGTGTGGTAATGTTCTCCTACACAGTCTGCATATTGTCAGCTACCAATAATAATAACTAATCAGAAACGGTTACACAAATAATAAGAACAGCTAGCTGTGTTCGAAAAAAACAGGACAGAGAAACAAATGTGACAGGGTATTGAATTCATCCAGTAAAACAATGCTATTTTCTAGCTCAAAGCACAGTTGTTAGCTCATCAATCATCAACTGTGTGTTCAGCGTCATGTTTGTGAGTGCATGGAGCGTTGAGGCGGGGCCATGGAGGGGCTGCAGGCGTACCTGCAAACACAGCTGTGACTGCCTATGCCTGATGGGCGAATGTCGGCATTAGCGTACTGGAAGAATAGAGGCTAGAGAGGGAGTCAGGGGAGCAGAAGATGGAGGCACTCGGAACAGAGGGGGAGCAAAAACAAACCTCTCCATGGGGAACTGGCTCAATATGAGAAAACTTAAAGCAAAAATAAACAACACAAATCAATTACTGCACGTGGTTAGCGCAGTGGATCATTCTGGTCCATCGGCTCAGTGAATACAGGCAAAATAATGAAAACAAATGCACAGATGATGACATACAGTAGCACAAATGACTTGAGCTCTGAATGATTCTTTCAGCAATATCTCTGGTAAAAGGATGAGTCATACACGAAGGACTCATATGTCTTACATCTATTTCATTTTCAAAGCAATTGATGATTGGTTGGTAAATTGGCCACACACAGGGAATGTAGAACTTGCTTGAGGTAAACATGTGTGATCAAGAAGTAAAATGTGAGGGCTGCAGTTTCACAATCAGATTCAGTCACTTCTTAAATGTATTTAACTAAACGACTATCTGTTACTACCTCCCTTACATCTCACCCAGAGTAATTCATACAGTGGTTCCTTGCTTTATTTAATACAGCGTACTAAGGAGCATAATTGCAGACGGTGATAAATTGCGGCAAAGCGATTACATTTATTGCTTCTCAGCTCTCCTGTCATTAGCAAATTACGCTTAGAGGCTGAGATGATCCGGTGAGACCCGGTTAGTATTCAGCCAGACACGATGTAGCTCTGAAGAATGACTGTCGTCATCGCTGGAAATGAGCCCATCTCGCACATCCTTTACCGGCTCGACTACATTTTTCATACTTCCCACCAACATGGGTATTTAGTGAGAGGGCTGCCAAGGGTTTTTAAATGTTGCTATTTCCTCTGTTAATCCGCCAAGAATTTTAAACAGCTACCAGCACATATATACGTATAAACTATGACTTTCAAAACCCAGGTTGAATCAACATATTTGAATGTTTCTCTTAAAACAATTCTGACTGTGAAATGCAAGGATTGAAACTCTGGTCCAGCAAATGGCTCCCAGATATGATAGGATGATATGGACAAGTCTGACACCGCCACCTACCCCTCAATAAGCATGCTGAAAAAAGAGAGTGACATAACAAAAGCTGAATGTGTCATCCTTCTTTTCCTCCGCTTTTTTTCTCAATGAAGGGCTTTTTCTCCCCAAAATCCTCTGCCTTTAAAATCGAACAAAGAAGCTGCAGTGCGTCCACTAACTGCCTGTGAGCTTAAAAAAGTCCAGCATCTGAGCAGTGATAAGTCGCTCCCAAACAAACTGTGGGACTGTTTAATTGGCAAGAAAAGAGAACAACTAAATCCATGTTGAATTTTAATATTCAGCACTTGCTTTGGATTTTTACTTGGCTGTATTTGATAAACTTTATAAATGTTTGTGCAGCAGAGGCCTTAATGATCCGTTTTCAACGCCATGCTGTCTTTATTCTCTCGGCTGTTCCACTGTCTCTGGATTAGCTAATCTCTCTCCCAGGCTGTTCTCGGAAGTTTCCTCATAGGAGGAGACCAACATTAAACCTGTGGCAAAACGTACAGTGCATTGAGGTAAACCGAGTTATTCACAGTTCCAAAGCAAGATTTGCCATTAGCCTTAATTTCTCCAATGTGGACATACGAATATATGGCTATATGATGATTAATAAAGATGTTTTTTGTATTTCCTTACAGCCTCCATTAAGCTGTCTTCATGTTACTACACTGAAAAAACTGAAATGTTCAATCATGTGTAATTTGCTGCCATAATACATTTAATTCAAGTCAACGCTTTTGTAACGACTGAATGAACACAAGTAGAGGACTCAATAGCACGACTCAGAGACAGAGGCTTAGGATGCAAAAAAGGTCTTTATAGCCAAGGTACGATACACGGGAGATCGGTCACAAGGAAAACACTGCTGGAACGCTAGGAAATAACGTAGACGAACTGGCACTGAAGGGAATGTGGATGCAGACTAAGTAGACAGAGAGATGATAATGAGGCACAGGTGAGGCTAATTAGGGATGGGAAGCAGGTGGAGTTCAATCAGGGCAGGAAAGCTGAAACTGAAATGAGAGAAACCAAAAATGAGAACAGGAACAATAACAAAACATCAACATGCTAGCTAGGGCTTTACAGCTTTAGTTTTTCCAGTGTGTTTTGGCATGGCACCGTTGCTGCATTTTGTGCTTAGCATCAACCAAGACCTTTGTGGTTGGTTTAAAGCATTACAAACAAGCCAGAGTGTTTTCCCTCTGAAACAGAATGATAATGGGTCTGCCAGAACATACACTAACAATGAGAAAGTGTTATAGAGATCAATCTGGCATTGAGAAACTTCAGTATTTCTGTGAGGTCATGCAATGAAATCATTTTGCACTTACACTGCATGGTTTTACAGCGATAATATAGTACTGCTTTTTTCCCATATTTTCCAAAATGATTTGAAGCAGGCCTTTTGATATAGAAACATTGTGGTTCGAGGACATGCTATTTGATTCTTTTGAAAATCTTTTTTCTTTATGTAGCCATACTTACTTTGGTATAATGCTATTTTTAATTAGAAATCTTTTTAATCTATGATGCACTGGCTGAATATCTAGCAATTAAATTGCCGGAGTGACGAGCCCTCTGCTGGCTTTGTGTATTTGTAATGAACACTAACCCTCTTTGAGTAAGCACACAGTGTGCTGCAAAGCCTTGAGCATGAAGCAACAGCAAAACTGATCATCCATAACAAGACAAACCATTACTGTACCCACCATATACAAACAGTTTGTATTCAGCAGTGCTGGTCCCCAGGTGGTTGCTGGCCTCGCAGCGGTATGTGCCATTGTCTGTTTTATTTAGTGTGGTGATGGTTAGTTCCCTGCCCTCCACAATCATACGCTCAATGTCTGGCAGCTCTCCTCCATCTTTAGACCACAGCACTGGTTCAGGTCTGGTCAAGAAAAAATACAAACAATGGTTGTTTTTCATCATTCTGCAAATGATTTTCTTAATTTTGAATGAATAAACAGTGATACAGAAGGAAAAACTGAAGAAAAGGGACATTCTGTAATCCCATTTATCATGCAAGAAAGTACCATCAAATAGAATTTTGTAAATAAATGCCAACTTACATTGGGTTGCCTATGGACACACACTCCAGTTTAAAGTATTGCCCTTCCAGTGGATCTATCTTTGGCTTTGAGATCTCCAGACGCGGAGCATCTGTAAAGAAGGGAACAAAAAATATCCAATGGTACGACAGAACTGAATATAAGAGGCTTTTAATTTAACACTGACAAAGTGCCACAGTAGTTAGTTCTTTACCCACTGGGCAGCTCCCATATCCCTGTTCTACTTTGGTACTAATCCCTTACCTGCAAACTAATCCTGCGCTAATCCTGAGCAAATGCAAAGCTAAACCTGCAGACATAAAGGTAATCTCAATCCTTGTATTTTCTTCTCATTGCTAATCTCACACCTAATCCAGTTTTGCAGGGTGTATGACTGCACTCACAGTGGACCTCCAGCACCTCGGTTGTCGTGTAAAGGTTGGACAGAGACACATGCTCCACGCTGCAGGTGTAGGCGACCCCATCCTCCCCTTTGTCCACCTGGAACTGGAGACTACTCCGCACTGTGAAGGATTTTCCTGTGGCATTCAGCTCCTTACTGCCTGTAGAGAGTCAGAAAATGAACATGTGTGGATTACTAATTTCATTCAGTTCCATCAATACAAAACTATTTCCTTTTTTAGAAAGACAGTGAAAAACTGAAATCAGCTTGTACGTTAACTAAAACATGGAGATGTTGCTTTTCTGACATCGACAGTTGCAGTGTTGTTGTTGCTGTTGTTTTTCCTCTGCATCTCCTTTGAGGGAGAGAATCCTTGGCCTTTGAAAGTCAAGTCAAAGTAGAGTGAATAGTGAGGGAGAGCATTGACTCGGTTGGTTGGGTGTGTTTGCTCCTCCAGGACCATCTCTCAAACATCCCAGTCAACACAAACAGACACAAACTCTCCAACAGTGCAGAGTTTCCATAGTTGTAGTGACACCTTTCCTTTCTCTCCTCTCTTTTGTCTTCATGCCCACACATTCACCCTTTTATACTACTTCAGATCTTGATTTGTTTTTTTTGTCCTTTCCCTGCAATGCCATCTTCATTTAGAGATACCTCTTAACTTATAATTGGAAGCATTTCTTTGTGGTTTGCTACTGCTCTCCTGTCAAAGCTTTGTGTTAGCATCGCTTTTCTCAGGAAAGCTTCATAAGGCTACTGATGCACCTGAACAAGGCAAAAAAGGACAAAGGCATTACTTCAGGAAGGAGTCAGGAAGAGTTTCACTGAGCTTCTACCCTTCTCACCGCCTTAGATCCTGCAGGCACTATATTCTTCCCCCCTCTACCTCTTCCATCCCTCAGACTTTCTGCCATCCACTGCAAGCAATCAATACATATGTATGTTCACACCACTACTTCACTCACAAACACACACACGCAGCATACAAATTGTTCAATCACTTGGTCTATTAAATACAAATAGCCCCTTGCAATGAAACCCAGAACAGCGATATCATCATCTCTTTGGGCTGATCCGTGCCATTTGCTCCACTGTTTTGATTGTCTTTGGTTTTGTTATGTGTATAGTGATTATTCTTTTCATTTGGAACCACTTCTATTACTATGACTGCTTTTACTACAACAGCTTTTGCCATTTTTATTTTGCTTTTAACATTTAACGGCAGTTTCATGATAATTCTTCTTCAGTATAACAACCAAATTAATTATTCATCTTATTTAGAACTAAAAGTATTAATATTAATAGAAAAGAGTACAAATAAAACATGCCACTTCTAGAGATGAATACAACACAAATAAGATTAATTTTGAGATCTAATTTCAAACAAAACATATGATTTTAAACAAACAGGAAATTCATATACCATGCATTTTCCCCTGAAGTACAAAGGGAGATAGTTAGCATCTCTGTGGCGACAAACACAAATCTCTCCAGCTTTTTCTCTCATTCATCAAGTCGCCTGCAGCGTTGGAGCTGTGGTAAAAGAAGCTGTCAGTTTGTTTCAAGGCGGCTGCTAGCATCGCCAGAGAGCATGCAGAGGCACTTTTCATAAGAATGGGAACGTGCTCAGGTGCACCTCTTCTGAACCTGAACCCCAAAAGGCAAGCAGATCTACATTCAGGCGAGTGGGGGCGCTCCAGTAATCACCACGTCTCCATCTGAGTTAACAAAGAGGAACCTCAGTGGCAGAATCCTATTTTTCCAAAAGTGTGCGTCTATTATGGTATACTATGATTAATACTTGGTTTCTTGCTTCACTTCAGATGCATTATTGTTGTATGATCATTGCGTCAAGTTGTTCTCAGCCTTGTGGAAATAGGTGTAACAATTTGAGCTTTTGGTTATTTTATTAAGGCCTTAGAGGCATTCAACAAAAGCACATTTATTTTTTTCTCAAGCAGCTATTTTTGACTGTGCTTCTTTAAAGGCCATACCCATCTGCTGAGTGCCATTTGCAGATTACTGCCTGCTGACCAATAATTACCTTCTCAAGGTGCAAAGAGGCTCCTCCACACTCTCTAATTTGAAAAAAGATATTTCTATACATGGTAAGCCTAATCAGGATCTAGTTTTTTTGCAAATAGGACGGTGTTAAGAAGCCAATTTGCTACTTTTGAGTTAGACATCCCTCTTCTAGGCACCTGTCTCTATATAGAAAGATTTACTATGCAATAATTGCACACTAAATGTTCTTTAATGTTTCCTGTAAAAACTGTTGATTTTCGACCAATCTATGTTGTTTTAGGCAGTAAAATACTTAAAGATTTATAAACAATACTATCAATGCTCACACATGGTTTTAATCCACTCATTGGAACTAATAGCCTATGATGGTATTGTTTATTTATCCATTAAGCCTTTATTAGATGCCTGTAACATATTTATTTATTTATTTGATAAAGCAGTTGTCACAGCTGTTTGAAATGGCTTCCTTGATTATTCCCTGCAGGCTTTTATATTTCAGTGTTAACTTAAAATAAACATCAAAGTAGCTACCACAACAAAACCGGAACAGGAAAAAAAACCTTACAATGTACAATTTGTTACTGATACAAATTAAATGAGATGAATAGCTTCATAAATAGGCCTAAAAAAACATTCTATTTTTGTCTGTGGATTAGTTGTAAACATTACTTTTTAACAAATGAATCTGATGTTAGTTTATGTATTCAGAGCAGAAACGTGTATTGAGATCAGGTCCCTTTTTAAAGCATATGATCCTTGGGTGCTGTATTGCTGTTATGACAATCATTGCAGAGTGTATCTGGGACTAGCATGTGTTTTAAAATAAATTCAACAGAGCTGTTTAAAAGACCCAAATACATTCCCAGGGTTATTTAGCATTTATTTGTTTACAATGCTGCGGTTGATAACAAGTTGTATCTTCCATTTAACCACTCTATGTGAAAATCCATAAACTATCCATAACTCTCTTTAACTTCCTCCACAGTTTCAAGGCTCTTAAACTTTATTGGTTTCTTAATGTTTCTCCAACAAAGTTCTGAAGGGGATGAACAGGAAGAGTGAGTGTGTATTGTCTAAAAATACATCAAACCCACCATCTTAGGCAATAAATGTGAGAAAACACTTTGTGGTCCTGCAGCATGTATATCCCTGTAATGTGTTTCTATAATCCTCCAATATTTCGCAGAATCCCCCCCCCCCCGTCTTAAAACTGAGAGAAGTATATAATAGAAAACATGGAGGGGGTTATTTCTTAAAAGTTAGGTCCATAGGTGTTCGACTGATATTTGCAGTCGAACTGAGCGTATGCGGGGCTCCTCAGTGAATGAGGCACTTGAACATGGCCTTGATGAGGATGATAACATAAAACTGAAGAACTGAAGTAAACAATTTGAACCTCAGAAAAAGAGAACAAACTAACAACACCGTCTAATTTACTAAAAAGTCAGCAGACCAAGAGAATTAATGATGTTGACTTCAGTCAAAATAATCAGATTTTGGCCACTTTGTGATGTCACAATGTTTTTTTGGGTTGTGCAACCATTAGCCAATAACCAACCAAGGTAACACCCGTCCACCTTATCACCTGAATCTCCTCCTAGAGCACCATTGTGTTTTTTTAACTAAACACTCTGCAGAGGGGCGTGGACAGCAGCAGCTCATTTGCATTTAAAGCTACAGACACAGAATCAGCACTTTTTGAATAGGGCTGAAACTGAGGCGTATTTTGGCATAGTACAATGCATTATCCATTTGGTATTTCAAGTCAAACACTTCAGAGACATGTTTTGTATGTATCCGAGACTTCTAATATATTGTTGAAAAAAAGTAAAATAGGGGACCTTTAATACTCAAATAATGAAAATTATAAAGATACTTCTACTCCAACTAATAACAATAAAGTTATTTTCTAGGTTCAAATGTCTTGATATCTTGCCTAACTGAATACAAAATGTGTCCCCATATTGGAGCTGTTGTGGATTTTAATGTGCCTTTGTGTCACTGTGAATAGGAATATATAGGACACTTTATGTATGCAAAGAGAGTGTCAGTGGGTGGGATATTCCTCAATAGATTATCATTTGAAGCATAGCTGTCATTCAGCGACCCAAGTCATTTGTATGGCTCTATACTCTGCAAACAAATGACTTGACACTGGATGACAGTAGCATATTGAGGTTGGTAATGGTGTGTGCTTCTAATATAAATTGGTGAAAAACAAATCATCAGAGCATGAAATAAATATGACATGTTTTTGCTATTACACCTGCTGTTATCTTGGAGCCTTGTAGACTGGTCCCCCAGAGGGGATAGATTTGACTGACAGCAGACACTGGCGGCAATGATCTACCTCAGAAGAACCAATGGCAAAACATGCTGCTCCCAGCACAAAGGCACTAAAGAAAGCATTAAAGCAACACCTCCAAAAAACTTGGATCAGGGGCACTGATTGACACTCCTCCTCTTTGACACTTTGACATGGAAATGAAGTTTTTGTCAAGCCCTCCAGTCTCTGCTTTGTTCTGCATCTCTCTTTGACTTGCAGATGCGTCACACCGGGTCTGTTTGCCCAAGCGACTTAATACACCTCACTGTGTGCAGGTAAAACTAATAAAAGCACATTTAAATACCAGGCAGCAGTTTTGGGCAGACTTGGGTTTTTTAAATATGGAATTTGAACAAACAGATTATTGTTCATAACATACATTAAATTAAAAAGTAGCGTATCATGCCTTCATTTTAATTATTCTTTATGCACTTCTGTGATTTCTGCCGTCCTAGGAACAGGATGGAGGTATTACGTTTTTGTTTTTTTATCCTCAGAAATACGGTAGCTTGAGTACATGTGTGCCACCCCTTAAACTCTGCTATTATGTTTTGGGATTTGTTTGATGTGCATGTCAATATTATACGTTGAGCTTTGAAGTTGTATTTTGAAGTTTACCTCAAGACATACCACAGAAAAAAGATCATCTCAGTGCCTCTTGAGATGGACAGCAAGTCTGGTCGTGACGCTGTGAGCCAGCTCTCTACTGGCCTTTCAGGGATCTACGTGCATGTCATTTCAACAAGAAAACTTCATATCCTGGCCCTTCTCCCATCAATCATCATGCCATGTTGGGCAGACACAGACAGAACCACCAAGAAAAGCTCTCTGGTGCAAATCTTCAATAAAGAGCAACTGTCACACTGAGTCTCTGCAGCATGCTCTGTTACATTAAAGAGCTCCACACAGCTTACCACTGCCATCAAATTGAGGAAAAACATCCCATTCCGTTATTTTTCTAATGTTTTTGTCTTCTTGTGAATTTTCTAAACCATAAATAAGACAGTGATAAATTCTATAAAAACACAAAGTACGGAGCTTCAGACAGTTTGAAATAAAGGTGTACAAGAAATTGTAAGCTTGTGAGGCACACTGTGAGAAAGCACAAAAAAACTTCAGCTGCATGGTTTAGGGTTATCAGCGCACATTACGCTGCTCCATCTGCTGCCTAATGCATTGTCTCTGTCAATGTTTTTTCTTTCCATCTGGGTGAAGCTAGTTATGTGGCCTCTGTGAGTTTGCATTCTAGAGCGTTCTTGTATCCTCCTTGACTCAATTGACTAATCTAATGCGGCTGTTTGAAAAATAAAGCACCTTAGAGCCACCTGCGGAACAAATGCCCAGCAAGATCAACTCATCACATGCAAACAGTTCCAAGGTACTGAGATTTTTATACGGTTTAATTAACACCCGTGTTTCTTTGAAGGTGAACAATTATGAAACACACCTCCTTAACACAGTCTCCAACAACATACAGCTATTTCTTTATCCACTCAGCAGTGTAAGGATAGCCGTCTTCAGAAACCAGACAAAAACAATATTTGCACCGGGGCCAATCACAACCTTGTTACGCCACTGAGTCTAATCCACAGAAAACTAAATCTACACAATTCTGACAACAAAGCAAAGGTTTAAGTCATTATACAAAGCAAAAGTGTCAAACATTTGCTGGTCTCACCTTCTAAATTGTGAGGACTCGTAGCTTCTTCATCATTGTAAATGTAAAAGATGCAAACTTCTTTCTTTTTGAAACCAGCTGAGTATATCATTGCTTCATTGCCACGAACAGTGAAACCAGAATGCTGTGCAGAACTTGTTGTGGATGTACACTTGACCTTACAATTTGAATCAATAAGAGGTGTATGTCTTCACCTTGGTCAGGTAGGGAGATGTGGATGGCTCTGCTACAATCCAGCAACTTTTGGACAGCTTCCAAAGTCAGCAGCAATGCTGGCTGTGAGCCAGGCTGATAGGCAGTGCTAAATCCCCGGCCAGTGAACAATGCAGGAACACAAAGGAACGCAGGAAGCAGACTGACTTGACAGTAATGATGTCTCAGAGAGGGTACATGAGGTAACAGAGGATACGATGCTCTGTGAAATCCACACCACATGCCTACCTTGAACCTCCTTGTCATTTCGGAACCACCGGATATTGGCGGCTGGTTTGCTGCCCAGTGTGGAGCATGTCAGGGTGATTATGTCCCCCTCCATGGCAGGTTTGGTGAATCCTGTGATTTCTGGTCGGCTTGGCACACCTGTGAAACATGGAAATATAAATGTAAAGAACATACTGAATACATGAATTAGGCTGTGACAAAAAAGGATTGAGAATAATTTACTTTATTCAGATATTCATGCTTCCTTTTCTCAGTAGCATAATAATAAATAATTTTGATGATTTTCAAGGCAGGAAAAAAGGGTATGATAAAAACAGCAGACTAAACAAAGCAGGTGATGAATGGGAAACTAAACATAATTAAAAAGGGAAATATCCAAAATTGTTTTTTTACATTACTGTGGCAAATGTATTCCTGTGTGTGTGAAGGTCATCGTAGAGGTGACTTTGAGTTTTTTTTTGTGGCTGTCCTGACTGGCAGACAACTACATTCAGTAACACTACTAGCTTGCAGGCTTGGTGTGATCCTTTATTTGAGTAAATAAGGGTCAAATGTAATGCAGAAATTAAAAAAATCTACGAAGCACCAATGATTTGGTGTAGCAAAATACCATAGTTGAAAATGTGCGTGTATTCATGCTGTAAGAATGTGTAAAGTAAGCCACAGTCTTGGAGGCTGGTGCAAAATGGACATGCTCACCCAGAACAGTCAGGAAGGCCTTGGTGGTCTTGACAGGCATGGTGAAAAGCGAGCAGGTGTACAGGCCATCGTCTGAAAGGCTGACGTCACCGATTTTGATGGTGAGCTCCTGCGACGAAGCTCGTATCAGCTCGATTCTGTTGTCCCTCAGAGCTGTGTAAAGAAACAGACAAAGTTACAGAGCGAACGGTAAAAGGACAGACAAGTGAGTTACCAATGGGCAAATTCCCGCTGAATACAGTAATGGCAATTAACTTGTAGAAATACTATTTGTAATTCTGATGACTCCTACTAGATCAAGGCGGAAAGCACTGTTCTTTTATTTCAAATCGTTTTTAAATGCAGCAAACACACACTGGGGCCAATGGATTCAAACTTTTTCATTACATTTATATTTTTGCCAGCCAGTCTTATTTAAAGTCAGTGAGCATTATTTGCTATGCTCTAGCAAAGCAAATCAAGCCTATAATCTTAGAATAAAATATATATTTAGCTAACCACAACAAATGCAGCTAATCATTTTAAACTCACTCTAACCATTTCAGCAACTGACTTTGGGTTGGGTCTTCTAGCATACCCTGGTCTCATTCAAACCACATGTTTGTATTGTCCACTGTAACTGTAGGCTAACATAATAGAGTGTAGATAAGGGCAGAGCAGTATTTCAAAGAGGTATTAATAATGACATTGTGTTTTGGTTTGTTTTTTGTATACATGTCAGACTCATTTGTCTAAACAAGGGATTTTAAGGATGTTTTAATAAAAGTCTAAGAAAATAGAAACGTAATACATAACCATTAAACGCAGTTTATTGTATTGGACCTCAATTACATTATTTTAGATTCAAATTGTTAATGATTGGCAGTGTTTTGATAAACATCAATATTATTAAAATATTCTTGTGAATATTTAAGTATATATTCCATCCAAATTGCCTAGCTTCAGTGCAAATGTAAGGTAAAACACAAAAACTATACTGCTAGTATCTGGTAGCGTAAAAAACAAATGAACCACTCCTACTAAGACTTGTGAGTTTATGACCATCACAATGGGAATTTCTTTAAACACAGCTTGAAATAAAACATGTCAGTGTTTTCTTAGGACACACTCACCACTGCTCATTCAGACTGTAACACTGTAAAGCTGGGAAAACAACGCAGCACAGCTGAAAAAAGCTAATCTCGCACCTGTCATCTCCTATATAATTTCAAATTGAGAATCACGTACTCCTACATGCAACCAACCACAGAGGGCAGGGAGGAAAGTGCTCTTCATTGAATAAATTACACATTCTTAATCTTTACTCCCTCCAGGCCTGAGCAGCTCTCTCCCTGGACACTTTTTTCATCTATAGCAATTTGAACTATATTGGATTGTACAACACGGGTCAAAATGCAGCAGAAGTGGTGGGTGTTGATTAGGATTTAATCAACGTAACCAATGTAAAATCACATCAGATAAAGAAGAAATCTCTATGAAAATCATTAATCACCTGCTCCGTTCCAATGTATGTGACTTAAGCGATGAACATGCACAGCAGCCATGTGATACACAGTTAAATTAGATTGGTGGAAATGATTATTAGATTTACTCAGACATAGGTCTTTATTTGCAAAGCTTCAATTACACCACATCAATTGATGATCATTATCATTTAATCACACGCATGCTAAAAAGGAATTGGCAAAGGAGATTTTGATGGCCCTAAGAAGTTTCCCTGAAGGGACTCTTTGTTATAAAGAGTAAATAAAAACAATCTTCAAGCCAGAATTAAAATTTAACAAGAAGCTTTGCCATCAGAGAAGCAGCTTATTATGTGCTATGGGGCTTAATACAAACTAGTCTTACTGTAGAAAACTGCATCTTGAAACAAAGCTGCCTGATGTTCTTTGTAGTTAAGCATCCTCACTACAGAGCTTGGAAATGCCCAGAGGCTCTGGCGGAAAACAGCAATGCCTTTGGTGGATGCATTGGAAAGGTGATGGGGTCTAAACAAACATCGTACAGGAACTCAAAAGATATGGAAGTGCAGGCTGAGAAGATCAAAGCTTTGGACAAGAAGACATACTGTACTTCCCCTGCGTGTCTCTTCATCGCTGCATCGCACAAAGAAAAGACGAGGAGAAACAGGCCAACTATTCTTCTTCGTAACCTCAAAGCTCAAACATCTCCGAGATGCCGATAAATGTTCTGGTGGTTTCTTAAGAAGGATTTCTTGAGGGAAATCAGCCATGTTTTGGTTAAAGTTATATTGCACCGAAAGAAAAAAGATAACGATTTTTTTGATTTTTAAAAAGAAAACAAACAGGGTAAACCAGCAACCATTCAGTATGGATAACATATGAATTATGATCCTTTACACCCCTACAAAACAGTGACCAAATATAGTACAGATCACTGATAATTTAAAGTGAAATTTCTGAAGTATTAGATGAGCTTCAACCTTGTTTTTCACTCTGCTCAACAATATCACATTACCATGAAAACAGAGCTACATCTAAATGTCAGTAGCTGAAATACTAATTCAGACAGTGTAATGCAAGTAGTAGCTGAGACAGTTTTACAAAAGATGGACTTGACTGATGCATCTTTTAGACAGCCACTGGCACTACACAGCACGTGAATCAATGACATATTGATAGAAAGAGCTGTACAAAGGTTTGAATAACCCAAAGACAAGTGCTTTCTATTACTCAAACAGCACATGGCCAGGAAACCATACTACCAGCATCCAATCCAGGCTAGAGGCCCAGTTTGTGGGCAGATCTGTCACAATCAGACCCAAATGCCAGCGGCTGACAAAGCTTTTTTCCAGGTGCTTTAGGAAATCAATGTGATGAAAAGGTTCATTTCCCACAAACCCTAGATAGCTCCTGCGTTGTTCAGACTGCTTAGGAGAAAGCATAAATCGGCACCATGACCTTGTGTATGCTACAGCCTTGCAGCATGGCAGCTTAATGTGCAGTAGATCTCGTGTGATGGAAGCCTTACCAAGGCTGTCTCAAATCAGTCAAACTGACACCGGTTCCCCCTCAGGGCAAGGGATACTGTTGCTATGGCCCCTTAATGCAAAGTAATGTTTGCCTTGTTTTTCTGACATCCCTTTGCACTACCCCTCATGTCAGAGGAAGGCCAGTTTGAAGTCTCCCAAGAATACTGTAGTTTGTCAGATTCAGATTTAACAACCAAGGTCAGTTTTGCTATGAGTTCTCTGAATTTGAAGTATCCAATAACCTGTTCAAACATGTAAACCAATAGATTCAACAACTTGCACTGCATTTTTTTAAATGTGTAATAGAAGAGCTGCCAGTCTGTTTGGTTGCTATGTTAGCTCTGTCCTCAGATGAAACTGGAGGCAGAGGAACTGGAAGTGCACTTATCATATGGCATTCACTTCCGCACTCCATTAAGCAGCAGACAGATGTTAACCAATGTTTCTAATCCAAAACAATGAAGTATCTCGTGACAGTCCAGATAGAGAAAGAAGATTTTACATCTACTGTATCCATTAGTCTTTGAAACCAGCTGATGGCTCTCGGGTTCAGCCAAAATATGTTTCATCCGCAACGCAGAGTGTCCCCATTTGGACATATTTTGTATGGCCTGTAACCACTTTGAGCCAGTCCTGGAATGTGAAAGCACCAACTGTCCTTCAGCGAGAACTCAGGGTCCTGGCGCACCCCCCGCTCTCCAGCCAGGGGCTCCACTCTTTGCAATTAGAGTGTGTTTGCTGCTGGCGGTGCTCACTCAGTGACTGTGTGGGCGATTCTGGATGTGTTCCAGGGCTAGTGGTGCAGGCAGGGGGCTCTTTTCCACCGCACATGTGGCTGCAATTAAGAGAAGGAAAGGGCCTTATTCCAGAGGGCCATTGTTACTGCCCGCCCTCTCAGAGATCCCACAGAGCAGATATACTCAGATTGGACTCATTTTCAGCGCTTAAAGAAGGTAAGGAAAGCAGGAGGAATTCTCCCAGCAGCAGTGCTCTGTCCCCTCTTTAAGTGGTAATTCATGAGACGGAATGTATTTTTGTCTGTCCATTTTTCAAGCCACTGACATAAGAGTGTTCACTGTGGGAAATCTTTCTGCCCTTGATCTCCGTTTTTTCATACAATACGAACACTCTAAATGTAATACCAGTAGGTTAACATATTCCTGTTGGTTTCAAATTAGCTCTACTCATACACCAGACACATTAATGAACAGCACAAATCAATGGCTAAACATCCAGGTGGGTCTCAACCTTCTACAGTCATTTCAATACACCATATTCTTCATTATTTTAATAAACATTATAAATGAAAGTGCAGTGTGGCACAGAGCTGAGTATAGAATATTGAAGAGCAGGTTTTCACATTAGTGCTAATAAACCCAGTGTATTGTGCCATAATGGTCGATTCACATTTCAGTGAAGCTGGAGGTAACCCACTGCACTTAAAAGCCCATTACTCCCTGAAGAAAGACATTAGCTGTGGCCATGAGACCCCATTTACATTTCTTTCCAGTAAAAACAGTGACTGAAAAGTAACCACTTGAGAATACAACTTGCAGCTTGTGTAATGTTCCTTTAGCATTGCTTTTGTGTAAGGTTTTTTCCCCCAAAGATATGTGAAAAAGTGTGGGAAAGCATGGCCAAGCAAATCCATTAAATAAAACAATTTCATAGTGTGTTGAACGTTAAAAAACGTATATGTATTTGTTGTATAAGACTTGTTCTTTTTGCTTTCTAGATATATGTATAAAATACCAATGTAAAATTGGATGCCACATACATAAACATCAACAATAACACTATTGGTAATAATATTATAATATATATTATATTATATAATATTACTAATCATTTTTAGACCAGAAAAGATAGTTAAATACAGATACTTGAGACTGAACTCACGTAAATGCCTCGTCCACTTGCTTCAAACAGACCCACCATCAAATGTTGTGTGTTTACTAGAATGGACGTTAAAATGTGTTTTCATTGGTGCTCAGTGCAGTAATTGCGTCCTTGGTAATTATCTTTCATTCTCTCAAGCTAATGAATGTTTTAATGCTCACATTAGAGCATTCATTTAGCACATAACAGCATTTTGATTATTACAAGCCAATTAAGATCAATTTTGCTTCGTGACCTTTATGGTCCAAGCTGAATGCCCCAATTAAATGTCATGAATGATGAACCATAAACCTCTGTGAGATTGAATTGAGATGATGAAAACGGCTGTATTAGTTGCCACAGCATGTATGTATATGGCTCCGTATCCCTGCTACAAACACTTACCGTAGTTCAAATGAGCAATTTGTTATCTGCCTTTGACATGCAACCGGCAGTAGTTTCCCATTAATTGCATTATTCATATTCACCGTATCCGACAAAAGTATCTCCTCCCATCCTGCATGCCTTCAGGATGTCATTACCATTCTCTACAGCATTGCAACATACGTTTTATTATTTTCCCATAGAACCCAAAAGAGAAGTAATTCATAATGAAGACAGCAAAGGACAGCTCTGATCTAATTTGTCCTGCTCAGTAATAATAATTCATAACCCCGGCAACGTATAAAAGGCATATACTACAAAAGACATATGGTCCAAATTGATTTCCTCAATGTGGCAGCCCAGCTGAGAGCTGCTTCCTCGACAGTCCACGCTAATTGGTCTAATGTATGAAAGATGTGTTGCCCCGGCTATTAAGGTGATCTATCTCTGTTTTCTCAGATCTGTGGTGGTAGTGTGAAGGAATCTGCATTATGGTCTTTGCCATATTGTAGTCTGAAGCCTTTGAGGTGGAAACAATCAACCAAGACTCAGATATACATAATGGATCAGGTGGAACGTGCCAAGAAGCCAGCTGGCATGATATAAGAGGAGGGCTGTGTTCAGCTTTTAGACAAATGTGCGAAGACAGTCCAACCCATATGGATCGGCTTTGGGAATCCAGCAAGGTTAACACTCTCTTGGAGCTCCACAAGGTTTGACTGATCCTCTGTTGGTAGAGGATGATATAGAGGTCCTTCTCACCGTTTATAATCACACCAAAGATACATTAAGCTATTAAGCTGTTACCTGCCAACTATTTCCTTCCCACCTGCAACCGCAACTCTTATCCCAGTCTGTCATGAGATGTGACATTGCTGTGTAGACAAATTAAAGGTCACAACTTGTAGGACGCACTGCTGGGATTATGTTATACATACTTACCTACCTGAGGAGTCCCAGCGGCTTACAAACTAATAGTGCAGCATTGTGATTCCTTATGGTAATTTAATTGCAACATGCACTAAAAAAAAAGGTTAATTTTGTCGCATTGTCATTGCTGGACATTGTCCTTGCCAGAAAGATTTTGGCATCAGAGACCGCAGTTCATTTTTGCTCCCCTTCCAATTGTCAATGCTTATTTTACCAATCTATTTTCCAAACATTATTCAGGTAGCTTAAGTGGCCGAAATGTACACCAAACCATTTTGGCAGATCAGAAAATGAGCAGCTTTGAAAAGCACTGACAACCAATCATCAGGTATTAAAGCTTGCATTACTGGCACTTGTGTATGAATAATGTTTGATGCAAAACATACACATGCTTGCTTTTCTTATTGATACACTGAAGTAGACTTAAGGTATTCAGGGTCATTACAATTCTAGAAAGACACCGAAATCCCTTTTGTCCTTGGCTCTAATAGCTACTCTTTGGGGCTTTTTCATATTCTCATTTGTCAGACCTGAATTAAAATGGAGCAAATTATAGTCAGGGCAAAGATCAGATTTTGTCTTACTTTACCCAGCAGCTGTCAGACCCAATATATAATATGAAACTTCCTACAGATGTTACTCCACTTCACAGCTGTTTAAATGAATTTACTGTAAAAGGTCATTTTAATAGTCTTTTCCTTCCATCCTATATTCATTCATACTCCAATCCCATCCAGACAAATGCCCCTTATCTTTAATACCTAGCTTGAGGGAGAATAGATTTCAAAAAATGCCTTACAATGCATTTTGTCTAATTTAAGACAGAAAAGTCAGATCCTCATTACTTGTACAGTATATGTTGAGCATTTGAACTCACACATTAGAGTGGTAAGGCTGGGGTCACGTATGCACAATGACAAACTACCTTTGTGGGGAGAGAATGAGAGAAAGTTGCATGTGCATCAAACGCTAACATATGGCCATGCTGTCATGAACACCCATGGGGATGTTGTAAGCAGAGAGGTGGACAACAAAGACAACAGACAGGGACAACAAGCACAGGGAAAAGAAAGGATGCATCTAAACAGCAGGTAAAAAAAGATAGCAACATCTAAACACTGAGAACAAGAGAATGCAACATAGCTGCATTAATCTAATCTACTCACTGACAGCCGTCTATGACCAGATGTTCATCAGAGGGAGGAAACAGCCTGCCTCAACCTCAAGCAGTCTGCCGTTAGTTGTCGGACTGAGAGCTATCACAAGTGTGACTCTAACATTTCTCATTGGCTTCTACAAGAAGGCACAACAAACGGGGGAAGAAGGACAGTTGCAGCCCTTTGCCAAGCAATTAACTGGTGATTTGGCACAGTAGAGATTTCTTCCCAGGTGTCCCACTCTCTTCCCCACATGAAGCCTGTGTTGTTCCACACCTCCCATTTCTCCTGATGGCCTCACAAGCATCGTATTCACTGTGCCAATAAAGCTTTTCATTTGGCTGTTTAAAAGGAGATCGAGAGGAAGTGTTCCAATACTTAGCCCTGGCAACCTCTGCTGAGTAGACTGCATTGTTTTTGTCATCCATATTGCTGAGGAAAAAAAAATCTATCATGCAATATAAATGGCTGTCCAAGAAGGGCGAAGTGGCTCTAACATACTGGGCTCTCCAAACCCCCCTAGAATGCTTATTACAGCGGCATTCTGGGTAAAGGTACAGATTATGACTTTGCATTCACAGGAGATGAGAAATATGAATAAAGCAAAGATAGATTGCTTTATTGAAGGCAAATGAAACAACCAAACAATGTTATTTGAATGATGTGTTACATCTTTTAGACGTTTTTTCGTGATAGAATTGAGTGATTTTTAAAACTGGTTGTGTTAAGTCAAATATGTGCTGTACGTTGAAGACATAGAAGTAAATATAATAAGGATTTTGGCTTGAATCCAGATGCTTAGGACACATTTAACATGCCATTCACATAAGAGTTTCTTAAGATTTGGTTAACTTTCATTTAATTGTATTTTGAAGTAATGTCTTCTAATAAAACACCTTAGACCTCATTACTAAATCCAATCACTTGCGAGAGAGGGAAAGTATTTCTTCAAACCAGACTGTGAGTCTCTTTCTGTTGGTTCACTCTGGCGTCTCTCTCTCCTATCAATTGTTATTCAAAGGAAAAGCTAATCTTCAATCACTGAACCAATGATATTGTATTAGCAGCTACAGCATAAAGGAAATGGCTAATATGCTGTGAGAAACACTGAAATATGAACACACCCAACTCTTACAAGACCAGTCCTGTTATACTCCCTTTCACCCCAATTCCAATTTATCACCTCCAGACTTTTGTCACCTTTAAATTGGGTTTGGCTGGTGAGAGCACATTATAATTCATTCTGGCTTGGGCTTTGTTTCACGAGGTTGCAACAGTGTGCTTCTTTTTGTCCTTTTCCAGTGACATCCAAACAGCAATACAAATGTAGGGCAGCTAAACTGCTAATTAAGCCAAATCATCTCACAATCCACAGGCGTTACTGTGTTGTAGACAACACTGTCAGTGTTGCATGATTACAAAAGTTCAATTAAAAAACAGCGTATTTCTGTTTAGTGTGTGCCCTGGGACATCAATGGAGACATAAATTCATTAAAAGTCTGTGTCTACATTATGAGTAATGCATTTCCCTCTTATCCTGCCTTTTTCCTGTATTCAGTCAAATTGTGTGCTCGCAGGCAGGCAGAGACAATTTCGCTCATTCCAAATTTGAAAACTTAATGAAGAAGACTTCTGCTGTAATGGAGTGTGGTTAAGACATCTTTATCATATCTCATCACGTTATCATTACAGCCATTATCCTCAGGAATATTACTCACCTTTCTTGTCCCCAAAGAATAGGGTCTGTTGTGCAGGGTTTGACCACTGGAGGGAAGTGTTATCATTGTAATCCACACGACAGGTCATGTTGGCTGAGCCCCCCTCTACCACGGTCACATTCTGAGTTATGGGGAACTGACCTTGTCCACCTGTTGGATTATAAAAACAGAGTCTGAGGTCATGACCATGATGTGAATAAATTGCTGTGTTGGACTGGTTGTCTTTTTACTAAATCACATGAATGTACCATTCAGACTTGATATATTTCAATGTTCATTTCCCATCACCCTCACGCCCAATTACATGAATGTCTCCATTACATCCCTGTAAACCAAATATAACTTAATGGAGGCCTGGTTGACATGGACTCCAGCCTTGGACAGCTGTTGGTGCTAGAAAACAATGGTGTTTTTTTTTTTTACAATGGAGGCAATGGTAGGGTTTACTCTCCCAGAGTGCCTTCCTCGCTGCCTTATTGCAGGGCTCTAATTGGTAGCATGGCCTAATTAGAGGTAGTCATGTTCTGCAGTAGAGTCTAGAGCTGCAGCTGGGTGGTAAATTGACACATAATCCTAGACACTGTGGGCCTTCGATCCGAGCGACTGCCTTGCCCTGAAACAGCCGCTCGTCACAGTGTGCAGAAGACATCCAAATGAGGCCTAATCACCCAGCCTTGCTGGATTTTACCTTCTTATTCCGCATTTGTACTTGTCGCCTCAGCAAAGTCCCCTAATTACATTGTAGAATCCTGCTTATGTTTTATTGAACTCTGGCAAGCTTCAGAAACAGATGTCTAAAACCAATACTCTTTATTTGTGCGAACACAAGTGAGGCTTAAAATGAGGCTGACCAGAAAGGCCTCTTTAGGGATAACAGCAGTTTTAATAGCAACCGTGTTAGAGTTTTTGAGTACATGCTTGAAGCTAAATCCGCTGCATTATCACTGACCATGGCTAATCTTTGACCATGTGTTCTCCTGATTTCACAGATCTGCTTTGTTTTCCTCTTGTAATGTGCCTTGATATGAAGGTGACATTGTCTCTGCCTCTCCCAGGTACACTTCACCACGGGGACTTTTCAACTAAGGGAGCAGCTGTCTGCCTCATTAGTCCAGCTCAAATGGTGGAGCAGAGGAGATTGGGCCAGCCAGAGGTCTGTGGACCTTCCTTGACCTTCATTGTCCTGATGGAGACCATTATCAGCTATAGGTGAAGGTAAGGCTGACTATAAATAGTACCAGGAAAATGATTCCAACAGTGCACATTACTTATCTGCTCATTACATATAATCACACAATATCACATCAACAAAAAACATTTCATCCTGTCATCATTACAATGATTGAAATGCAGTTGGCTGGGTCGGTAAATTGTCGAGGGAAATCAGCTATGCATGTCATTTTAAAAAGGGAAATGGATGGGAATTAATTGTATGTGGAGAACTATGCAGAGGTGTTGTTGTCAGTTCTTGCATAACTTTCTACTCTGTTGTCATATCATCTACCCGACCATCTCTTCAGCCTGTGTCCAGTGTATACGGCTCACTGCAAGAAATAAAAGGTATAAATCCAAAGAGTCACGAATATGGGTTGGAATATACTACACAATCCTTCAAGTTTTGGTCAGGGTATGTACGGTTTCATTAAAAAGCGCTTTTTGAAATTCCATGTAATTATCCCTGCAAGGCCAATAAAGGCTGTTCACATAATCAGTCACAAGGCCCTGTCTTGAGCATCGTTTTAAAAGAAGTGTCGGTGCAGGTTACAGTGCACTGCAGCTTACTGAGCTTCCCCTAATACATTCATGAAATTCCAGTCTTGACATTCTGTAGCAGCCTAGAGTGTGGCAAATGCTGTCCTTTCTGTGGAAACATAATCCCCAGCGCCGACTACAGACTGTATTTCATTTTTATTTGAGATGGTGATTGGAGGGCCTTACTTCTACAGTACAGCGCCAAACAATATTCCAGAAAGAAACGTAACCATAAACTACTTTGAGTAGTGCTGTGTGACCCTCTACTCTGACCTCACTTAAATATAAATATGTTCAGGTGTGTTCGGCAAGGAAGGATATTTCACTGACAATATTCAATTGAACTTGTGGCATATTTTTACTAAAAGACGTGGTTACATTGACTTACCATTCTGTAATCAGAGGATAATACATTTGTATTATCTTGGTACGGGGTAAAGCCATAATTAAAGGTAATAACTAGATCATATTTTTGTAATAACAAAAAGAGTATTTGTAATGGTGCTTTACTCCAGTAACAGAGTGATATAGGTAAAAAAACATTAGAACAATAATACAAAAATAACCTAAAAATATATCAATAATGATTTCAAGATCTTACATTAACATTGTACACCTGCACAAGCGTTTTAATTGTTTTAAAATGTGTGGGCATGCAGACTGTTTGACTGACATCTGTCTTGGCACTTTTAAGATGATACATTTTGGTGTCTAACAATTGCCATATCTATCGTTGAAAGATATACTGAACTTTTCATACCTGAGATGTATTATAAACTGCTTTTAAGATGCAATACAATGTCCTCCACAAATAACGGGCACTGCCTTTTAAATGAAAGCCGCTAAATGTGTGATTTGAGCATATCTACACCAATTTACATTTGGATTGTGTAATTTATTTACCAAAGAAAACTATTGGCTTATATATATATACAAATAAAGACTATACATGGTGGCTTAACCGCGACAAAAACAATAAATACTTAAGGCCAGGAAAGATACAATAAAAGCTTCAAAGTAAACGTCTAGATTATGTTGAGCCATGGCTGTGATTTCTGTAAAAGCCTGCCAGTGAAAGGGAACAAACATCTCTGAGGAATAATGGAGGTATGAAGGTTGTCTGCTCCACTGATGATCCAAGACGACTCAGTGAAGTGCAGTGATGTAATGAGGAATAAACCTGCACTTTTGCAATATGCCTTTGGGGAGGGCATATTGCCAACTCTAAAACACAAAGCATATCAGTTCTACACGTTAAAGGACTTCAATGCTGGGCATTTCTGTATCGCTTTTCATGCACTTAGATGTATTATACTGAATAAGAGGGAACTACTTCTTTTCCATCAAGGCCAGGTACTGTTTGACAGCGTGCGCATATTTACAGACAGCTTTTAGACATTCAACCTGCCTGCCATGAGGATGCCATGGCTGTGAATAGTTGAGGTGAGGATTGAGTAACCCGAGATATCTTGATGAAAGTAGCGGGTGCCCTCTGGAACATGAATACCATTTGCTTTTTTTTTCATGTTGGTAACATGAAGTGTTATGAAGTGCTTTAGTAAAAGAAAAATTCTATGTGTGATAAGTCACATCAGTATTTTCTCTGCCTCTTTCTCTTTTCAATTGACCATCCCTATGGCTTTAGAGCAGTGGTTCTCAACTGGTCAGGCCTCGGGACCCACTTGTTCCTTTGTCAATAGATCGTGACCTGAAATTTTGAACCACTCTATTGTGCTGTAATATATACGCTTTTCAGCATACAATATTAATAAAAGTGAAGTACAGTGCCCTTATATCCCTTCACAGAACTAAAGTATGCTTTTAAAAAAGGTTTAATGAGATGATGGAATCAAAGCTCAACTGTATAACATAAAAAGGCACACATGCTGAAAACCCAACCCCAGCAGGGGGTCTGGGGGGAATCTCCCCCAGGAGATTTTTAGAAATACTAACATATAAACTACGCATTCTGGTACACTCTGAGAAGAAAATAAATAAATGTATTACTACCCGACAAATTAATAATATTTTATGCCATTGTTTGTTTTTCACTATGTTCTGACAGATGAACTTGCTGCTCCCCACAGAGAGAAGAGTAAAGAGGAGAGAATCTGTGTGACTTACTTTAAATTGTGGGTAAGGGTAGATAGCCTCCATTGTTCTGTGACCTGTCAATCATCAAACCGGGGGTCATATTTCATTACGTGTTCATTTGTATCTGAAGTTGTACCCATGGATGTATAAAGAGTAGTTCCGGCAACAATCTTGATTCTGATTGGCCAGAAGACTCGAAAAAACATCAGCAAAGATGCACTGCATGCACAGCGTTTGGAAATCGGGCCTTCAAAAATAAATGTTTGACTTCTTTCAACAAAAAAAAGAAAAATCATTTTTTTTTTACTTCACTCACACATCTGCGACCCACTCGAAACGGGTCCGCGACCCACTTTTGGGTCGCGACCCACCAGTTGAGAACCACTGCTTTAGAGGAATGGGAGGTAAAGAATAAAACATGAAGTGATGAACCCTGAACTCAAAATGAACTTATTTTTGCATATAAATTGAACTAAATCAATAAAAATCGAAGCTTTTAATCAATTTGTTTTTGTGTGTACTGTAGGTGCTTTTAATCAAAACATGTCCACCATCAGCCTGCTTACGGGCCTAAGCCTTAAAGCTATAATTGGTCCCTTGGCAGTGCTTTCCCCTTTCACAATGTTTTTCTTTTTTATGACGGTCACAGAGATCTGAGAGCTGCTGTATTTTTCTTCTTCTTAGTGCCAAAGCTAAAAGCCCACTCCAGTGAAGGCTGAAACTGGCAATATCACCCTGAGCCGGGAGATTATGGTCCGGCACATTCAGGTGGGCCACCAGCTCGCTGATCATCAGTCACAATGTCAGCACAGATGAGATTAGTCAAGTTGTTTGCTGTGCTTCACAGTCAGAATGCTGCTGACACATCTCTCCACTGTGACATTAACTTTCATACAGAATCAAGTGACACTGCCTCATGAATCAAATATGTACCTGCAGAGCTGAAATGAGGTAGAAATTGGGAAGAGAGGATAGCATCTCCATTGTAAACAAATGTTTAATGATTTGATTAGATTTACAAGGGGAAACCACAGACACAGCTGTCCGCTAAAACAAAGGCTAGATGTAATTGTCCGCCCTTCATCTCTGCACATTTTAGCGTGGGATGTGCAGCAGGTGTAGAGTATAAATATGAATACAGATGTCCAGAATGGCTGGCTGTTGAGTATGTGCATTAGTGATAAACTATTTCATTTCATCTCAACCAGCCGCTCTTCATGCTGTTATCAGAATGCAGCACAGATCGTAGCCTGATGGAATCTGAGTCTGACAATATTGGAAGCCAAGAATACGATACTTAGGTT